CACTTTCAGTGTAATGAACCCAAATGACTTTAGATGTAATTTAATATGTTGAAGATTGGTACAAATGAGACTCTCTCATCCTGAATCCTTGATTGAACCCTGTTTCTAAATAGAGTCGCTCAGCATGCCCTTTAAAAGGTAGCTAGGTCCGTTGCTGCTTCTTGGACCAATGACAGAATGCAGGTTTGCCAATGATGCTTGCAGACTAGACACCAACAATGAACAACAAACAGCCTACCAAATGAATGACATGATCAATGAACTGGACATCTCAAACCTGCTAAGCTAATAGACTTGAATCAATCCAAACTCAGTAATAAGCACTCCCAGACTCCCAAATCCATTTTTATCATATGACGGATGTCACACTGACCCTTTGCAGCAGGTCTTGTTCTTCAAGACCCAGCTGATGGCAAATTTGTCTTCGCCTCCAACCACTGACACACTGCGACGTCTAAAATGGGCTCCTTGGTTGGGCCAACCTCCATCAGGTCTCTGATTGACCCGCATGAACCAGCAAGGTGGATCAGATGCGCCAAGCCGTCCTGGGCCAGGTGAGTATTTGATTTGGCCTGCAGTCGAGTGGCACGATGGGCAGTCAATGTCAGTCCACACAAGCAGTCTGAGTGATGCAGCTTTGGGGCCCCTAGGTCGTGCAGGCTCCTCAGGTGCTGGAGGGGCAGCAGGAGCACTTGAACTTGCTGCACTTGAACTTGCAGGAGGAGCACCAGCTGGTTCAGCACATGCACCTGAATCCAAGGGCGGTTGAGGCACTTCAGAATTGTCAAGTGACACAGCAGGCTCAGCCAAAGGAGGAACACCAGCTTGTTCAGCACATGCGCCTGAATCCAAGGGCGGTTGAGGCACTTCAGAATTGTCAATTGACACAGGGGGCTCAGCCAAAGTTGGAACACTAGCTTGTTCAGCACATGCACCTGAATCCAAGGGCGGTTGAGGTACTTCAGAATTGTCAATTGACACAGCCAAAGGAGGAACACCTGCTTGTTCAGCAGAAGCATTTGAATCCGCCATCTGACCAATGTCATTTGACATAAGCTGTGGCTGCTCCTCGTCAATGACAACTTCTCTGACACCAATTGACTCAAGCTCCTCCGCAACCTCGATGACAATTGATTCTTCTTTGGCACCATTCTCAGGTGCGTCCTCCTCAGCATGTGTTGGCAGAGCACTGCCATCATTTGACTTCAATCTCTTCTTCGCTTTTGCCTGTGGCTTCACTGCCTTCCTTTTCCCTTTCGGTTTCTCTTTGGCCTCTGCTTTCAACCTCTTCTTCTCTGCGGCCAATTCCTTTTTTTCCTACAGGTGTGTTTCTGTGACAACATCTTTGTTCATATTATTGTAGCTATTCCCCCGCCTACTTAGTTTTTACATCTAACAGATTTTGAAACCACAGTTCAAAGACAACTTGAAGCTTCTGTCCTTCTTCTCACGAATCTTCTCCTTGTGCCACTGCCTCCACTTCTCTTGCTGACGGTAATTGATCTCTTCAGTTGACTTCTTTTTCAGACTCTTGTACTCTTCCTGCTCGTCCTTATCCAACTGCTCTAACAAACAGCTCAGCATGTCTGCTTCACCTTCAAACGCGATATGGTCCTCCTTCTGCTTGCCACACTCAGCCCGATGAAGAACTTGTTCGATGAAGTTGCAATCTCCCACATGTGTAGCCAATGCTTCCAGTGTCTTCTTTTTTGTTGGCTTCTTCCCAGGTTCAATAACTCCAAGAATCTGGCCAACTGAGTGAAGATTGCTGAGTGTGAAGCGGTCTTGCAAGTAAAGGAGGGCGTAAGTCAGCAAGGGCTGTTCCGTTCCAGCTGTAGCAATGAAGATACCTTGGTCTCCCCAACGAGCCTTGACAGGCAACACAAGGTAGTCCTCTGGGTTATAACAATAAAGCCACTGGACTGCTCCATCTGGTACCAAAGAGAAGTGCTGCTCCCCACAACCAGTCTGATGCCCCATCGCCAATGGCCATGTCAAAGTGGCCCAGCAGTGTTGGGCCAGCACCAAAACCGGGACTTCAGTTCCAATCTTCTTGATGACCAAGCCTTCCTGGCATAGAACATTCAGCAAAGCAGCCTGCACATGCAAGGGACAGGGGGACAAAACATGACTACTGAAAACAAAATGTCAAAGGGCAAATCATACTTGAGAATTCAACAACTACTTCTGCAGATAAATAGTTATGATCCTTTCTTGGGACAGCTTGTCAAAAGGAGAGGGACCAAGCCTTGATTGGAACCTTTTGCTGCCAAAGCTTTTGACCGAGATAATGCCTTATCCACTGCCAACCTGCTGCTGATTTCCGAAGAGAAGCCACCGTCAATGTAGACCAATCACGATTGGGACTCATGATGGCCTGGAAGTCTTTGGCAAGCTTGTGCCTCCTTGAGTTCATGTGCTTGGCCTCACTAAAGCTCTTGCTGTTGGTCTGGCGGTATTTGGTTCTGAAGATCCCTTCAGTCATTGTTGCGTGAACAACATCACGGGCAGCAAGCAATTCATCTGAGAAATTCTGAATGTGTTGGAATGATGACAAGCGCCTCTTTTGATGATGAGCACCATAACGCTGTTTGGCTTTCAGCCTCTGATGGTAGTCTTCAATCAGCTTAGAATCAGGAAGGCGCTTCAACATGCACCCCAACATTCGAATGGCTCCTGAAGCACGTGGGTCATCAACTTGCCATCCCACAGATTCAAATGTCAACATGACCAAACGCATTGGACTGGGCAAAGTGATCCTGAGATCTTTAGCCAATTGAGAAGCCTGCTCTGCAGTGCTGGTTTCCAGCTGCACAAGTGCTTGCCAATCACGTTTCATTCTCCTCACTTCCATGTGAGGGTCATCTGAGAGCATGCCGGCATAGCAGTAGGGAGGCGTCAAGTGTTTGGCATAGCTGCTAGCTCTTTGTCCAAGCAAAGAGGTCACAAATTCAAAGCTTGTTCGGGCAATATCACATGGATCAGGGCACCATTGAACCCATGAGTCAAACTGAGACTTGGCTTCAGGACTCACAATTTGGGATAACTCCTGTAGCTCTTGACAAGAAGACCAGCCATCATTGGACATGCACATAAAGTACGCCAAGCAGTCAGATGCACTTTTGACACTTGTGTTGAATCTTGTATATTCTGACCAACATGGAATTGTACACAAGTACAGAACCTTAGTTCTTTCCCAAATCTTCTGGTTCAAGCTGTAGAGAGCAAGCGTGAGACCACCTCCACCGGCTTGTTTCCGAAGAGCATCAAACGTTGCAGCAGCCTGAATCAAATCTGAGTCTGGTTCATCATTGTCTAAGTACCAGGAAAGGATAAGCTTGGTGCCATGCCACTCTCGCAGTTGCTGATGACATGCATTCTGCCATGAAAACCACCTCGAATCTTTTGGTTTGGCTCCTTTGAAGTTCCAGGAGTGCATTCGACCCAAAGCTTCCCAGACTGCTCGTTGCTCATCAGCAGTACTGCATGGCATGTCAAAGTCTAGGGCGATTCTGTCAATGTATTTTTGCACCAGTGGATCGTCCTAAACTTTTTAAACTGGTCATCAATGAATACTAATACATAATATTATCAGACAGAGACAAAATAAACCCAACACTTCTGGTTCTCAGCTCTCCAAGACACCAATGTGATTGATGCGAAGAAGCTTTCAAGCGCTGCCTTCTTTTCAGCAAACCATGCTCCTGACCCAAATGGCCGGTAGTTTATCCCCCAGACATACCTCGGTTAGTCATCAGTCAGTCAGTTGACTACATCAAATGACCCCAGTGAAGTTAACATTACTTATGATTAAATAAGAGAAGATAATATATAATGTGGCAACTGAGATACTGGGTTGCAAGCTTTATCTTTGAAAACTGAAGCTGACCTTCAGCATGCTTACAATCATTTGAAAGCCGGTGGTACCAATCCCAATCGCAATGGACAAAGAATCCACCTGGCACACCTTCAAGCAAAAATGCCGCTGCAGCCATATCAGATGGTGATTGATCCATCGTCAAAATAAGGCAACCCTGACAATTGCTCCACTCAATGACATTATAGTAGAGCCCATCTAGATATATCTGATCATTCAAGACCTCAGGACGGCCATGAGAAGGTGTCAAAGGCTGCATGATTGGAGCCAGGTCACTATGACACTTGAACGTTTCCAGATTCACACGCTTTGAAGTGACCACCTCCAACTGGTGTGAGATTGCCTGCAAAAACTTGAAAGAGCTCAACCGCTGCTGCTCTCTCCTCGCAAGAGTGCGCTGCAGTTCTTCATCTGCATCTTGAAAGTCGCCCGGTGTACAAATCTTGGCTGGCCAGAGGCATTGTCCAGGTAAGTTTACCGCAACATTTGACTCATGTACATAGGCCACACTGATAAGTAGATCCTGTGTTGAATGGACACTGCCATCAGTCACTATCTGAAAATCACAACAGTTGCACATGGCCACTTGACTCCTGTTCAGGTACATAGACAGCAGTTTGTTCTGCCAATATGTTCCGGATCCAGCTTTTGCATCCTTCACAGCTGTTCTCAAACACACATTGTTTGTCTTGCCCTGCTCAACATATTCCCAGATCTGGTCAATATGAATCCGCTTTGTCACACGTTGAGCACCTTGTTCTGACCTGCAAACGATTTTACAAGGTCAGCCATGTCAGGCCATCACTCCTCCAATTCCTATAACATACATTCAGTCAGACTAAGTCAAGTCAATCAGTAAATATAATATTAATCAACACTTGGCCCTACCTGGCCTGCGGCTGCGAAAGACACGATCAGGGATTTGCTGGCCACAAAACACGGAGACATTACCCAAGATCACAGAATCCAGCATTTGGGCCAATGTCTTGATAAACGTTGATCTCAAATCATCCAGCAAAGCTCTGCTTACGTTCTTCCAAGCATGTTTCTGTTGAGACTTTCTGGCAGAGTCAACTGTCAAGACAAATTCAATGACATCTTCCATGTGCAGCTCAGTGGATGACCATGCACTTCTTAGATTGACCATAGAATCCCACTGCTTGCCCCAAGAGGAGACAAGTCCAGCATGCGAACTCTCTACCACTGCATGAAAATTCATGATCATGCCTCTCGAGTTGATGTGCAATGCCTTACCGCTATGCAATTGTAACTGCACCTGTGGTGCCGCAATTGGCTGATTCAGCAGGAACTGAGCCAAGAAAAATTTAATGTATTCCACGCACGACTGTACTTTCGCTGGTGTTCTTGCCTTTGCAATGCAATCTGTAATAAAGTGCACAAATAGCAGTGAAGTTGCACAATTGGCATCCAATGCAGTTGGCCTCCCAGGTCAAGTGACAAGTGCTGCCATCCCCCACTCAGAAGACTCATAGGCTTTCAACTATATTATATGAGAACTCAAACCCAAACAGTGAGACACATGTTAGTCAACCCCTTACCTTTGAGTCTTACCTCGCACATGAAGCTCGCCCTTCAAATCCAGCTTGATTGCTAGCTCCTTGAAGATTGCAGCTGTCTTTGACATGCCTTCTGAACATATGACAGGAGCAGATTCACAAAAGTAGCTCAAATCCCACCAAATAGTTGATTCCTGCTTTTGGGCCAGTTTTGCAGGCCACTTCTCCGTCTGAATGTTGAACACCAACGCTTGGCAAGCACGAGCTTGCAACACTGGCTCATCTGGCTGCTCCCAGGCCATGGTGCAAATGATCGATGGACAATGAAACAAAGTAATTGCAGGCCATGTCACATCTAATTGACTACTAAGTACAGTAAGTTGATTGCTGGCTTCATCTGTGGTGGTTTAAAAGGATCAAATGTTGGCTACTAACTCACATCAAGCGTCAAAGGACTGAGGAAAAGACATACCTTGGTTGACTCTGTCAAGCGTCACATGACAATTCTTCAACTTGATGGGACTGAGCGACTGACCAAAGGAAGCCAAGCATCCACCTGTCAATACAAAAGTCTGAAGTCAGGAATACAAAAGTCTAAGACAGTTCAGTCATATCTGTCAGATTCAATTGACTCAACCACAAAACTATGTTTTTGAAAGGACTCAAACACACACCTCTTGTTTTGACACTCCAGCCAAGAGCAGGCGATGGATTTCAACTTGCTAATACCTAAGGCCTCAGATTTGAATGAAGCGGCTAAGCTGGTCCCTGAAACAAATTGGCCAATCAGCAACTCAACTTGTCACATCCCACCATAGTCTGCCAAAACTAAATAAGATTCCATGGCCAAATAAATTCCTGAGCTTCCTAACAAATGCAAACAACACAGGTCTAGACTAGTGACTAGATGTATCAGTCTCAACTAGCGCTGGCAAACTATATCCCAAGTGACTTGAATGAAATGTCAAATGACCAACTGCGTCAAGGCTTTAAGCTTTGACTGCAAATGGAACGGTGCAGTCAAATGTCAAATGACTACATGATCTGGGAGTCATCAACGTCCAGCTCATCAGGCTCTGCTTCAGGTTCCATCTCGATGTCATGATCAAGCTCATCTTCACCAGGTCCCATCTGAATTGGGTGAGGCTGAGGCTCAATCAAATCTCCTTCAGACACCAAGTGCACACTTCTGTGACACATGTTGGGGCATGAATCTGGAGTCAAATGGTGGATCTGGCGCCATTCGCGAATGCAGTGCTGGTGGAACGTGTGGGCACATGGAAGAGCATCCACTGGAGCATCCCTGAGCGGATTGAAACAAATCAGACATTGTGGCACTTGTGGTGGTGCCATTGCTCCTGCTTTGGACCTTGTTGTCCCAGACTCCACTGCCACATTGCCACCATCACCTGACATGGGAGCTGGAGGTGGGCCACTTGGCATGGCTTCAGAAGCTGCAACCAGTGGGCCACTTGGCATGGCCGCAGGAGCTGGAGGTGGGCCGCTTGGCATGGCTACAGGCGCTGGAGGTGGGCCACCTTGCAGGGCTGCAGGAGCTGGAGGTGGGCCACCTTGCAGGGCTGCAGGAGCTGGAGGTGGGCCACTTTGCACTGTCACAGGACGAGCTGGCGGTGGGGCTGGCTGATTGACATGTCCTCCAGCCTTTGCAGCAGCTCCACTTGACACAACTCTTGGAGTGGTCCTGGCTGCAACTGTAGTGCCCGCTGGAGGAGCAAACAGGAAAGGCAAAGCTGTTGGCGATGGCGATGATTGCACTTCAACAGTAGCTGGAGAACTGGCACCAGCAGTACTTGGACGTGTTGGTGTAGACTGGGCAGCATCTGAAGGAGTCTCACTGGCTGTCGTAGTAGTCGTCGGAGTCGTTGAAGAGGCATTCGAAGCGATCATGCCAGTGAGAGTCTGTTGGCCAGCTGGTGGTGCTGCAGCTGTTGATGCCCTCCTTCCTCGAGGCCCTTTCTTAGGCAGCAGCCATTGAGCTTGCCAACCATGCTCTTCAGCAAGCTGAAAGACATGAACATCATTCAGGTTCAATGGCAGCTTCTCGCCCAGCTTGTTGAAGAATGCCTCTTTGCCACCATGTGCTGCACTGACTCGACCCAATCCTGGTTGCCCTGCTGCTGCAAGCTCTTCATAATAGCGAATGCCTTGTCAATTGACAAATGATTGATTTGGTAGTAAGTTTTGGCACAACAATCCTTCCAGAGTTGACAAATATAACTAATGAATCATACCATCATCATACCATTGAATCATGGTTGAAACAATCATGAATGAATCAATCAATGATCAACAAAAGTCACAATGTAACTATCATATCAGTGAAAGTCTCAAACAAAACCATATCTAAACACAAAGCCATGCTGCCCAAATCGCACAGATTGCTGTTTGGCTTAATCCTCGTCAGGATGTACAGCAAGCCCATCAAGCCAGCAGGAGATAGATCAGCAGTCCATGAAGAATCAAGGAATGGGCACAAAGTGGCAACCGTCTTTGACAAATGACACCTTGGGACTTTGCGAATGCAGCTTGCCGAGCTGGAGATCTTGGTTTGCTCCGTCGAGGGCTGAAGCTGCGGTGCTACCGCCACTGGAGCAGGAGCTGCAGCAGGTGCAGCTGCAGCTGTGGAGTCACGCCCACGACGGTCACGCTCATCATCTTCTGACGATGACTCCA